ATAAGTCGGAGTGTGAGGGGTCTATTGCATGTAGTATGCTCGGGGTGTGGTACCAGTGGCTCAGCAGCTTAAATGCCGTCTCCTGTGTCTTTGTGAAAGTAGAGCACTGGTGTGTGAGGTAGCAAATTTTTTAGCATTCTGTCTCGTAAAGGTCCTCCCCAGTGCGGTTTCCCACTTGCCCTTAAAGGCGGGAGTCTCTGTCAAGGTCTCCCTTTGTAGTAGAGAGTATAGGAATGAAATGCCGTGGGGTAGGGGGTCTGGGTGCATACAGCACTCTTCGAAGGTAGTTGGGTTCCTAGCATGGGCCCGTCCCCCGGGGAGGGAGTCTATATAGTTCGATAGTTGCTTATATTTAAAGGATTGTAGGAATGTAGGGGGTACGTTCTCTATCAGGTCAGCAAGTGCCTTCCGCCCCGAGTGCATGTAGATATGGTGCAGTCTGGGGATGGGTGCATGGATGATGTCTCTGAAGGCGTTTGGGTCGAGGCCGGGGGAGAAGTCTTGATTGTGTGTCAGGGGTAACAGGGGTGATGGGTGTTGGGTTAGTCCGTGTGTCCGAGACGCTCTGTGCCACATGCGTAAAGTGTGCTGTGCTAAAGAGGAGCAGCCTCTACCGAGCCCCCTCCCGGAGCATCACAGCAGGACCGAGACTGGTCCCATCGTCTCTGTCTCCTCCACCGCCTTCCACTGCTTATGTACATTTGTCTTAGTCCATTCCATTAATCTCTGTAAGTGTCCTGCCGTGTAATTTAAGTAGAAGTCTGGAATGGCCAACCCTCCCCTCTCCTTAGGTTGTGTGAGTGCTTGGAACTTAATCCGTGGTCTTTTCCCATTCCATATGTAGCTAATTGTCATTGAGCGCAAGGAGGTAAAGAAGGCTTTGGGTATCGTTATGGGGAGCGTCTGGAATAAATAGAGTAGTCGTGGGAGGAGTTTCATTTTAATAACCTGGATCCTTCCCAGCCACGATATATGTGGGTAGGACCAGTCTGTTAGTTCTTTCCTGAACGTATTTAGCATGGGGGTGAAGTTTTCCCTGTATAGGTCTCCCTTTTGTTTGGTCAACCATGTACCCAGGTAGCGTATTTTACTTTCCGCCCACTGAAATGGGAAACTTGCTCTTAGGGGGGAGGCTCGGCCTCGGGGCAGATCAGCGTTCAGGATATAGGATTTGGAGTAATTTATTTTTAGGTTGGAGATTATTCCGAATGTTTTAAAGGCTTGAAGGTTGTTGGGGAGGGAGATTTCTGGTCGTGAGACGAAGAAGAGGAGGTCGGCCGCATAGGCGGCCACTTTGTGATGCGTGTCCCCTGCCTGAATGCCCATTTTATTAGCAACTTTAGCAACTTTAGCGAGACCGAAACAAAGTGCCTGCCTGGTGGATCCACCAAAGTTTTGTGTATTTTTGGTAGGACATTCAGTACTAGGACAACAGGATATTTCTCAAAAAGGAACCTAAAACATTATTTACCAGTTATTTGGTTTCAAAGCTTTAGGCAACAGAATCTCAATCTTAGCCTGCAATGGATTAGTAGGGTCACTCGTCAACTTTGTAAAGGGTATTAATATCACTCAATTGTCATGTTACTTCTTTGACATAGTCAAACCTGTTCCGAAACACTATGGCACCACCCTAATCTGCTGGTTTAATCATTAGGTCCTTATTATTCTAACATACTCAATGTTCTGAATTCTGACTTTGTCAGATAAGGAGGTTGTCTGGGATTAGAACTGGTATTACAAAAATATCTACTGCCCTTTTGCACCAGATCCACATGTTTCAATAACATGATCTTTAATGGAAGGGGAAAACATACTTTTATTACTCGAAGTGGTATAATTAAGCTGGCAGGTGGCATCCCTCTAAACCTCTCTTTTGTAAAACCACTGGGTTTTATTAAAAGATGGCTCTTTAGCCTATGAATATGGAAAAATCGCTGCTAGTCTATATCAAGCTCAACCGTTATAGGCTGATATGTGTGACAAAATGTCAAACCTTTAGCCAGAACATGTCATCATGTTCCGGTCTCCATAGCTCAATGTTCTTGATGATCCAGGGTGGCTGAAAGTCGTTATCAATGTTGTTTTATTGTTTATTTAGCTATATGCACAATGTGTTATGTTGTAGTGTGGTTGTTATAGTGAAGACGCTGGGGGTTAAGCAAAGGTCTTATATGTACACATGACATTATAATATGTAGTACACATCTACAATAATTTGGTTTCTTCAAGGGGATTAGCAAAAAGAATTTAAAGTGCTGGGATAATTTTATATCATTTGTTAATAAATTATTAAGGATAACGAACATGTGAGTAATACAGATAATTTATTACCAGACTATCCTGACTCGGAGTGGATTTTCTTTGATTCATTTAGTTATATTTATGCATCTGCCTCTGCAGGTAGTAATCTTCCAGACACTTTTCTAAATCCTGCAGTCTATTTTCCATGCTGTTTATATTCATATTTGGCATTTTTTTGGATCGGGAATTCACATTATGGAAAGGAATTAGTTTTATGACTCCTTGGAAGCAGAAATAAGCCACACGTATCTGTTCTGCATTTAAAGTTAAAAATTTTACAAAACGTATTTACTGTCCGTGGGTTAACAAACACCAAACTAATTTTACTAGATCTACCCTCCACTAGAACGTACACAAGTTAGCATTCCGGTAAAAATTTAAATTAGTATCTCACCTAGCATGATGAAAAACTTCTCTTCTAAGTAGTCAAACTCCTGTTATTAATAGAGACCTTACAAAGGATTTCCTGAAAGTCTTTCTAAGGCCCTTGTGTAATAAAGCATTAATAGCCAACCACACGTGGACTTTTTTAGCTTATACCAGCAAAGATCACTAGTTAATCCTGCACAGTTTGGGTTTAAACTTTGTTTATGCTATATACACATTGCCAATAGATTTGCTGAACTACAGCTGAGCTCCTATGTCAAGTAGAAGAGAACTGCATGGATCTTGGTATCCCTATAATTCCCCTTCTAGATCTTCCAATGCTATCTAAACCTGAAAAAAAATACAAGAAACAACTATTGCCATCTGCGCTACAAGTGCCCAACAGTCACCTCCTCAAAAACTTCTTCAGAGGATCAACAAACATGCAGGTCTCTCCATAGAACTGAAACACCAATCCTTACACCGGTCCAGATTAAGTGAAAATGTTATACTTTATCTGCAATAACAATATCCTTCCACTCTATTAGAGTACATTCCCACTACTACGCTTTCATGTGTGCAGGGAATCCTTGTTTTACAACATTCCACAATTGAGAGACACAAAAACATAAACAGTACTTGGTAAGTTTTAAAGAGACACTGTAGTCTCTAAAACAATGTTAGCTTAATGAAGCAATTTTGGTGTATAGCTCATGCACCTGCAATCTCACTGACCAATCCTCTGCCATTTAGGAATTAAATCACTTCATTTATGCAGCCCAGGCACACCTTCCTAAAGACTTCCTGTAAAGAGTGATCTAATGTTTATATTCCCTTTATTGCATTTCTTATCACCTGCTCTTTCAGTAACTTGCTATAGCCTATAGGAGCCCTTGTGTGTGATTAAGTTTAAATTTACAGAGCAGGAGATAAAAACTTTTAAAGTAAGCTACATCTGTTTTAAAATGGAGGCTGTGAGTCACAGCCAGGATAGGTGTGACTAGAGCTACGTAAACAGAAACAAAAGTGATCTAACTCCTAAGTGACAGAGGATTGAGCAGTGAAACTTCAGACGCATAACCTTATACACAAAAACTGCTTCATTAAGCTAAGGTTGTTTTGGTGACTCTAGTGTCCCTTTAAGTTTTATTTAGGGGGTTGTTGCATATACATAGGGACAAAGGGTTAAAGGGTTATTCCAATCATTATAACCGCTACAGATGATGACCGGAGTACCTTTTTTTTGGTTTACCAGTAATGGGGCAAAATGTTTAGGAAAGGTTTGCTCCTCTACCTGGGTCCCCTCCTGGCTCTGGGGTTACACGGTAGTCTTGTAATGCATTCCTGCGCTGCAGAAGCTGGAAGCCAAAGCTGTCACCATAATTAAGCTATGAACAATTATTTGTTCTGGTTTAAATAGGGGCATGAATACATTTTCAGACCTGTTAGCCCCTTATAGCAATTATATAACTGACACACACTCACACTTGCATCTTCAACCTTTATGTAGTCTTCCTTGTGAAACTACAGTCAAAAAAGCCCAGTGAGTCATTGACTCCCACTTACATATTTTTTTATTTCTGCTCCATAACCTATCAATTCAAACATCTTAACCCACTATCTGAATTAAATCAATTTGATTAAAAAAATTTTATTTGTAATTTAAAACACATTCTATGCCTCAAAAAACAATACAGCTTGATGAGTGGTTTGGTTCCTATATGCTCTCGCTGCACTCATTGACAAATGGAAGCATTGCCATTTTGAAGAAATGACAATGTTTATATTTATTTGTGTGTCTATAGCAGTTGCTGGATGACCAGTAATCATAACTGTATTTGTTTATAGTCTAAAGGGGGCCAAAAATCTAATAGATTCTAATGTGCTGGCACTCTCCACAAGGTGGTGCAGGTATTAGGGGTCACTCCCAAATAAACCCCCCAAAAATATAAACAACCTAATACATATTAATATCGCACTCTGACACACGAAGTGTGCCTAATAAAGGCAAAAAGTATCGGAATTAGGCAAAATTTAATCAGTAAGTAATTTTCAAGTGGTTCAAAATCATATATAAAAAATTGTAACATACAGAATGGTTCAAAAACCGCAAAAGACCTCAACATGTGGTACAACCTTTTTCTTTTAACAAAAATTCATCTTATTTACACACCTCATATGTATGTCTCTGCAATATTGTTAATAACAATTTACAAGCCTGGTGGATCCACCAATTTACAATATGCTATTAGATAGCAAAAATTCCACTCTCTCATTAAAGTTAATAAATGCCTAGCAGGGGGGTGGAGCCTAGCAGCCAAGTGGACCAGATGTGCTCAGCGCGGGCTCCCACGTCTGGGGACAAAAACCGGGGTGTTCCACCCCAAAAATCAACACTTACTGACCGCAACCTATATGATTCAACCCGAGAGAGGTTGCTGCACCAGACAGTGCCTTTCCCGATCTCCATCGCCGTCGAACCGAGGCTTGCGGTCTTCACAAGCCTGAGACACGGAGAGACCGCCGCTATCCGGGCTCACAAACAACATCTGGACACCCTGGGAAGCACTCCACCCTCCTTGGACCGGCAGGGGTCATCACGGTCAACACCAGGCTACCCCACTTACCTTGCGGCCAACGGGCAGCTGCGTTTGCAGGTGCCTGTTATCCAGTGACGCTTCGCAAAATGGTGGACACACCTTCTACTAGAGACATGCTGCAGACCAAGCCAGACGGGTGCGCCACGCTGGATCGCATGCTGCTGCGCCTCGACTAGTTCTTTGCCCGTTTCTGGGAGATGCTGGAGGTACGTGCAGCAGTGACTACAGGGGAACGGAGGAACAGGTGAGGGGGTGAGTGGGGCCCCAGCGGGCACAACCTCCCACTGAACATCCAACCCACACACACTTAGATCACCTGGGCAGAGAGCCAAGAGAGAATACCTCCCAAAGCCTCCCCCACAGTGGCAGAAGCGCGGGACCAGCATGAAACGACACACCACCCAGAGCCTCTTTTACCTCACAGAGGCAACTACCACTGGCCGTCCTAAACGCCTTCCCAGGCTGAAGACCACCCTGAGTAAATCTCCAAGGCACCGACCACACTGCTGGAAGCATGGTCGCAGCTGGCGCCAGCAGAACACCCAACACATGGCGCCCAACAGAGGGAAGACCAGGCCTCACCGAGATACAGAGTCAGTTTACCGCTGGTGCAGGCCTTCACATACCCGCATCCTGCTGCCCCCCTGTGGACTCTCTTGGCCGAAAGTGCCACCTTGCCCAGCAGGGGTATCGGCTGACTACTGACTCTCTGCCTCACAGCCCCGATAGAAAAAGCCCCTGGCTGTGAGTCTTATGGGACCCACTCTGCAACGTCCAAATTGATGCTCTCTGGTGGGCTCCCACCTAGCAGACATGCTCCATCTATTAACTTTTTGCATACCATACTCAATGTCTGACATGCCTGAGACTTAATCTTGCCTACAATTACTCTCTAAACGCAATACAATATCTATGCATTTACTTACACTCACGATACCTAGCATGCCATACTATCACTGATGGGCAATAGGAAAGTTAGCTAAGAATTCACCATCTCTCATTAGGAATTACGTTTTATATGTTCACACACAGCAGTTTAGCATGTTTCTAAACACTCAGGTATTAAACAGTTTAACCGCACTAGCTTATTTTAACAACTAGAATATTGCTTCTACATTAATTGTATTGTTACAAGCGTAATTTCAGTAATATTTTAACAATCTTACATTACAGTTATGTGCATGTCATTAATCTACTTAATTAATATAACAGGAGGCTGACAATTCTCAGAGATAATATATATTGTGCTGTACTATCCCCATCCTGTATGTATCTTTATCGTCTCCCCTTTTTTATTCTGTACCATTACGACTTTACGCCTCAATAAAAGAAAGATTGCAAAAAAAAAAAATGCCTAGAAGTCTTATCAGAGCAAAAATCTATTTGCATACCATCCGATACCATCCATTTATACACTGCTTGCTACCAGCTACATAAGAAGGAAATAGGAAATATTTACCACATTCTCCACTGCAGAGAAAGACTTATCTACACCCTGTTCAAAATTATTATGAAAATTCTATTTAAGTGTCACAAAGATTACATATTTTGGTTTTCAGTTTAACTCATGGATGGCATTGTGTCTCAGGGCTCTTTTGATCACTGAAAACAATCTCGGACACCTGTGATAGTCAGATTGCCAGGTGAGTCTCATTTAAGGAAAAGCTACTAAAGGAGGGTGTTCCACATTATTAAGCAGAGCACCATTTTCATGCAATATGGGGAAGAAAAAGGATCTCTATGCTGCTGAAAAGAGTGAAATAGTTCAATGCCTTGGACGAGGTATGAAAACATTAGATATTTCACGAAAACTTAAGCGTGATCATCACACTATTAAGAGATTTGTGGCTGATTCAGAGCACAGATTTCAGCCAGATCCATGCATCAGATCAAGAGAGCAGCTGCTAAAATACCGTTACATAGCAGCAAACAGATATTTGAAGCTGCTGGTGCCTCTGGAGTCCCACGGACATCAAGATGTAGAGTCCTCCAGAGTCTTGTAACTGTGCATAAACCTTCTATTCGGCCACCACTAACCAATGCTCACAAGCAGAAACAGCTGCATTGGGGAGAAAGATACATGAAGACTAATTTTCAAACAGCCCTGTTCACTGATGAGTGCCGTGCAACCCTGGATGGTCCAGATGGATGGAGTAGTGGATGGTTGGTGGACGGCCACCCTGTTCCAACAAGGCTGCGATGTCAGCAAGGCAGTGGTTCAGTCATGTTTTGAGCCGGAATCATGGAAAGAGAGCCTTTAGGGTCCCCGAAGGTGTAAAGATGACCTCTACAATGTTTGTGGAGTTTCTGACTGACCACTTTCTTCCCTGGTACAGAAGGAAGAACTATGCTTTCCATAATAAAATCATCTTCATGCATGACAATGCACCATCTCATGCTGCAAAGAATACCTCTGCATCAATGGCTGCTATGGGGATACAAGGAGAGAAAGTCATGGTGTGGCCTCCATCCTCCCCTGACCTCAGTCCTATTGAGAACCTTTGGAGCATCCTCAAGCAAAAGATCTATGAGGATGGGAGGCAGTTTACATCCAAACAGCAGCTCTGGGAGGCTATTCTGACATCTTGCAAACAAATTCAAGCAGAAACTGTCCAATAACTCACAAGTTCAATGGATGCAAGACTTGTGAAGCTGCTATCAAATAAGGGGTCCTATGTTAAAATTTAAAGTGACCTGTTAAAATGTTTAAAAATTTTAAATGTTGTTATAAGTTTCATTGAAATAGCTTTTGATTTCAGTAAATATGCTGCAAACACAACAAATTACAATTTTCAGTTCTTTACAACCTATAAAGTGTTTTGAAATTTACTGTGCGTAATAATTTGGAACAGTTAATTGTAAGTTTTTTATACTTAAAAAAAATACTGTTATCATTAGGAGGTTTGTTCAATAAAATTTGAATTGTACTCTTAATAGTTGATAACATGAGAATTATGCTGACTGTTATTTACATAAATTATTTAGGTAAATGAGAAAAATATAATTTGCATAATAATTTGGAAAAGGGTGTACATATGGCACATCCAGCATTTTGAACATTCTTTGGTGAGATCTAACCATTTTTTGTCCATTCCATATCCCTATTACTTATCTCTCTGTATATACCCTTCTTTTTTTATATTTTTTTTTCCTGTGTGCTTTGTTCTCACCATTTAGCATATCTCTCACTATTCCTTTTATGTTTTAGTTTTTGCTTCTGGAAAAACTAGGCTCTGTTGTAACCAGTGCTGAGGGCTTAAACATATAAAAGGGGGAGATTGCTACTTCTTCAGTTAGTTCTCGTACTGCCAATCCATACCCGTTTGGAACTAGTGTGGTATGCTTATTATTGACTGTCTATTATTGAACATCTCACTCAGGGCTGTTCCCCCTCATATCAGGCTACACTGTTTAATTTGTCTTAGTACTTTTTAGAGTTACTAATAAAGTTATTTTGTTATTTATTATTTTCTCCTTTAAGATCTTATTGGAGTGGATTGGAAAATTTTACCTTGTGGTCACTTTCTATTCAAGTGACACCTTTGGTTCTCTATTTACCAAATAGAGACTACATTAGTTATTTTGGGGTTTTTTTTATGTTACCAAAGTTGACCGACTGCTAGCCCTGATTTCATTGAACTGTTTTGAGCATAGCACCATGTGCGTGGTCAGTCAAATAATTGACTTCCATGGAAATCTCGAACCTCTGAACTGATCTGGGTGATTTTTTCATATGTTGGTCACCCAGATGGGGTTTCCATGTGTTTTGAAGGTACTTTGGGGGTGTTTGTAAATTGTATGTTTTTCTGTGCGTTGAGATAATGAGTTTGTACAGTTCCTGACTCAATAATCTCCCAGGCACCGGGGAGGAATTATCCTGTTTTGTGTGGGAGTTTCATGGGTGTGTTTTCTGTGTCATTGTACTGCATAAAAGCAGGCCTGAATTAAACAGATAATTTTACCCCTTCACGAAGTCTAGGCTCATATTTGGGGGATTTGGGGCTATATTCACACTTATAATCACTACTGTGCTTGGGACTTGGGAGATTCTTCACGGATGTACTCAGCTGGAGTACTAGGATCCGTTACAATATCTATACATACATATATAATTATTCATAACGTCAGAGTGTTCCTTTAATACCAGTAAAAGTTCAAATGTGTTTACATGATTTCTGGATGTAGTAGCAGGTTCCTTTTAGAGATTACATGCTGTTTCATTACTTTACTTTTAGTCACTAAGGATCCACCAGTTGTTGACTGTTTAGTGCTTGATGTTAATAAAAAAATTTTTTAAAACACCTTTCATTTTATGTGCATTCAATAGAATGGAACATTTTACATTAATTTAATTTTAATTTATTTTGTATATTTTTAACCGCTTAAAGGACCATTCTAGGCACCCAGACCACTTCAGCTTAATGAAGTGGTCTGGGTGCCTGGTCCAGCTAGGGTTAACCCATTTTTTAATAAACATAGCAGTTTCAGAGAAACTGCTATGTTTATTAATGGGTTAAGCCTTCCCCCTAATCCTCTAGTGGCTGTCTCATTGACAGCCACTAGAGGCGCTTGCGTGCTTCTCACTGTGATTTTCACAGTGAGAGCACGCAGCGTCCATAGGAAAGCATTGTAAATGCTTTCCTATGAGACCAGCTGAATGCGCGCGCAGCTCTTGCCGCGCGTGCGCATTCAGCCAGGGGGGAAGTAACGGAGGAGGAGAGCTCCCCGCCCAGCGCTGGAAAAAGGTAAGATTTAACCCCTTTCCCTCTTCCAGAGCCGGGCGGGAGGGGGTCCCTGAGGGTGGGGGCACCCTCAGGGCACTATAGTGCCAGGAAAACGAGTATGTTTTCCTGGCACTATAGTGGTCCTTTAAGGACACATGACATGTGTGACATGTCATGATTCCCTTTTATTCCAGAGGTTTGGTCCTTAAGGGGTTAATGCATTATCATTAAAAAAAAGATCAATAGCAGCCTTATAGAGATCATTTAATAATACAAGATATATCACTTAGTGTCCCTTTAAATGTGCCCTATATACATGTGTATCTAATTATT